AAAAAAAAAGTTCCTTTTTCAAAATTAATTATTTTTGAATTTTTCAAACTTAAATAAGTTTTTTAGTTCCGATATGGAAATAATAAAAACAAATCTCACAGCCAAATTCCTCCCTTTTATGTAGTGAAAATTTCATTCCTTGGTTCTTTCTGCGCAAAAAATTTTRTTTTTTAAGCTGAGACAACATAATAATATGCTGGTGTAACGTCCTCTTGATTTCATTTTTTAATATTATGTATTACTTATTTAAATTTCTTTCATGTTTATCTTCTATTACTATTTAAATATCAGATAAATACATTTGTATTTATTTAATAGCTGTTTTTAACTTTTATCCAATACTATATTCATAATCCAGTGGCGTAGTTATGGGGGGGGGGATGATGTGGATAGATCCCTCCCCAGAGTCTTATTTTTTTTTTTATGTTTAATGCATTGACTTATATACTGATATAAGATTAATGAAAATTGGAAAATTGGATCTTTTTTATAAATTATAGTGTAATTTATACATGTTTTCATTTTTTATTTTTTATTACTATTTTTTTTTTAATGGATAAGTATTAAGCACAATACATTTTTCTTAAAATTTCAATTGCTTATTTTATTTATGGTGGGGCGATAACAACCAAAGTGGTGGAGAGATACTAAATTGTATACGGTGTAGGTACTGGCGGTAATAAATAAGTACCAATTTAACTGTGTATAGTATTATGTTAAAAAAAATTAAAAGAACTGTTAGAGGGTGTGGGAGGCAAAGTCCCCCACATTATGTTTAGCCAATAAATTATATATCCCCCCCCAGAACAAAATCATAACTACGCCACTGTCATAATCATATACTTATATTATCGTGTTATTGTGTTTTTTTTATAGTTGTACAATAGATACTGTTAAAAAAAAATTGACTAAAATGCACTTTGCCACCCTACACTAAATCAAAAAATTATTGCTCTTTATATGTAGCATTTGGCGCAGAAACAGTTGTGAAGCTGCTTGGACTTAGTTTCAAAGTTCATGATTTCCATTAATCGAAAACACATAGTGTAGAAAACAAATTTTTGTTATATTTTAACTGACAAATGTATGTATTTGGATATCCAGCATGCAATCAAATTAGGAAATTCAAAACACTTAAATATTAAAACTAAGTATGAGCTACAAACTATGGTTGCCTAATTATTTAACTCTTTACTATAAATTTAAAAAAAAAAATGGTGGTAATGTGCATTTGTTCCTAAAACTAGGAAAAAAGTTTAATTTAATTTATTAATTTTTCATTGTTCATCTTTTTTAGGTTTGGTACCAAGTGCTGTTCTAATATTGACTAAACCACAACAATAAAATTAATAATTATTATTTTTGTAATATCTATCTTCCAAAATTTTAATAAATCAAGTTTTAATTGTAAGCACTATGGAACTGATTGGTTAATTGTTCAGTCATGTATAATAATGATTAAAAATAGTGTTTAAAACATATTATCATAAAGGTAAATAAAGATTTTCATTTTTAAACTTTGATATACAATTGTGTTTTATTTACATTTAGTACATCAATTAGATTATGTAAAAATAATAATATCAATAGTGGTAAAAAAAATTCTATATTCATGACATTTGTCTATTATAGTTAATCTCAAACATTCTAGAGATCAAATGTCAGTAATAAAATACTCAGTACCTTCATTTTAAATTGTTTATATTTTTTACATTTGATTCAATTTGAATGATTGGCATATCAACTGAGCCGTGTTCAACTTGAATTTACCACTTCTTTTTAAGATTATTTTAATAATTATAAGTATCTATATTATACTGTAAAATACATGTCATTTGTACAAACAGGCCATATTATTACTTATTAATATATTGTATTGATTAGAAAAGTAATTTTATACTCAGTATTACAAATTATTAATTGGTAAAAACATAATAAAACAATGTTCATTTAATAATATAATTAAAAATTAATTTAAGTATCTTAATAAAATAGTTGATACTACAACAGTAGAACTGGAAGATAGACTGGAATACTACTTCCAGTGGACTGGAATCTTAAACGTCTTAGTACTATAATACTATACCATATAATGTAAAAATATTAACTTTGGCTTTATTTAAGGACATTCAGGTAACTTGATAGTGTTAAGAAACTAAAAAAAAATAATTATTTTCAATACATATTATATTAGTTTATAATTATATTTATAAAATCATTATTAACATTTAGGCAGAARTGAAAGAAGTATAATAAATCCACATTAAAGTACTATTGATTTAATTTTCGTACAGATATTTTAAATTTTGCAGAGTAGGGAGAGAATTCAATATGCACATATATACACAAATAATATTAGACATGCATTTTTCACAATTAAAAATCCAATGATAAATTACACACACATATTTTAAAGTATTGCGTAATACAAACATTTTACAAGTATAGTCTATATTGTACAGTATAACCTCATCAAAGGCATTTCATTAATTTAAAAAAAGAATAAATAAAACAATAACAACAAAAATGAATAAAAAATGATTTATGTTAAATATAATCTACAACTTGTATTCTTGTAAATTATTTATATTCAAGTCATCGCCGTTTTCTAATAAGTCTGTTGTACAAATCTTCGGGGCAATAACCTTGGGCAAGTCTCTGAGCTCAGCTTTGCATTTATGAGTTTGGCTCACATCTTTTCCAATACAACCAGCTAATATCTTTTTTAACATTTCACGTTTACCTTTGTTTACTTTGTTATTTAATGAATCCTCGCTCATCACCCATTTATCAAAACGCTCCAATGTTTCCAAGTTTATTTCAGGTAATTTTCTTAAGACTTCTAATAACTGATTGTTTTTACTGCGATACGTTTCATATATGGTAAGGCATGTAGCTAAAAGGGGACCCATGTTAGAATCATGATGTCCAAACCAGTGAAGACTTTCTAAGACTGCTATCATCAAATCAGGTGCAATTGTCATGGCAGTTCTTTCATCCTCAATAGCCAAATGTCTCACAACAATTTGAGATAAAGACGTTGCTTTATAACTAGACTGGCTATCACACCAGGGATGTAATACTGGCCTATTATCCCATCGAAATATTTGACATGTTTTCCAAAATTGACTTATAGATGTATTCCATGACAAGCCATTTAAAATACTTCCCACAATCAAGTGCCTAGATTGTTCATTTCGTAATAGTTTTTTACCTAATTCAGATAAATCACTATTAGGGATTTCTTCCACACTTCCATGAGGGCTCGTTTTTGATTCATTAGAACTAGTTAAACTTAACCGTACTAAATCTAAATACTCTCTAGTTAAAAGCCGGATCATCATATCTTCCAACAGTTCTTCAGAATCTCCATCTTTATTATCATATTCTTCACGTTCTGGTATATTTTTCCAAGTAATACTTAGGCGTATTAACATATGAGCTAAAAAGGAATTTAGAATAGGAATAAGAACAGAATCATAATAGTTACTTGAACAGTTGATAAGAAAAGGTTTAATAAAATTCTTCATAACAGTTCTAATGCGTACATGTGGTAATGAATCTGCATCACTCATAATGGTTGCTTCAAAACTTGGAGCAAAATTTTGTAGCGCATAAAATTGATCTCCAAGTAAAACACACGATTTTCCCAAAACATTTAAACATCCTTCATAAGCATTTAAAATTGCTAGTTTTACTTTATAGACCGGATCAGGTTTTGGTTTTTGTCTAAATATCTGAAATGGGTCATTTTTTTCAGACACAATGTTCTTTCCAAGTAAGGCTTCCCGCTCTTGAGGGAATATCTCTAAGACTGAAGTATAACTAGGATGCATCATTTTTTTCACATTATCTGAACATAAAGAGTTTAAATTTTTTATTATTAAAAAAACATTTGGAAGTAGTAATAAAACATGTTCAGTAACTGGTGAAACATTTGGAATTTTTGATAAATTTGAATTTGTGTTACTTCTAGCCATAACACTGGCTAATACATTAATACAGTGAGATAGATGATTTCGATTTTCCAGACACGGATCAGAATCAAAATCAACTGGTGGCCTATCGAGTCCTAAATATGCTAATAATCCTTCAGGCGGTCCAGATACAATACTTTGTACTTTTTGCCACATTAATTGACAAGGTTCTAAAATGTGTTTAATTAGTTGAGTTTGTTTATAAAAATCTGGCACATGATTGTTGAGCACAAGAAGTGACTCTTGCAAACGTAAACATACTGCAAGATTATCACCAGTCTTACTGGTTTTTAATAGTAGTTGATCACTTAACGAACACAGCTTATCAAAAACCGGCAGTAACAAATTCGGATATTTGATACTTAGTTTAATAAACAAAGAAGCAGAATGAAATTTTAAATCTTTGACTGGAACAGACATTTGATCATCCGGATGACATTCAAGTATTAGATATCCACACATTTTATTTAGTGTAGCATGAAGATATTCTGAAGGCCAAGATGTTGAAGTTAGAAATACAAACAATGCAGACACGGATGAAAGAAGGAATGACAATATTAATGGATCTCTTGTTTCAAAATTTAAACACAATTCAATTAGCTTCAAACCTCTAGTAACAATTTCAGAATCCAGAGTTAATGTTAATTTACTCATCACACCATCTAATATTAAAACCATTACTTCCCATTCTAGAAACTCAGCTGAATCTTGTTCACAAAAAGGAATCACTTTCATTCTTAATGATGTTTTTTCCATGCACGACTTAAGTAAGTTTTCTGTAACTGAAAACATAATATTATTTTCAATAGCAGAAGCACATCTGATTGTTTCAACAATTTCTGATCGGGTGTGATAAAAGACTGTATTATAGCTTTCTTCATCTGTAAAATCAAGTAAGGTGAATGAATCTAAATTTTTGTAATCTAACTTAATTAATTTTTTTGACGCTAACAAAAACCATTTTGGAATGTAATTTTGTTTCAGTAAAATATTCTTACTGATTTCAGTATTTTTAAATAATGTACACCACGCTTGATTAATATTTGTAACGACATTCAATGAATCATGAGCCAAACAAACTTGTAATAAGTCAACATAACAAAACAGTATTTTTTCAGATTTTTCAACATTGAAATTATGCAATTTATTATCTTTCCAGAAAGCACATAACACAGAGCTCAACATTGATACAACTTTGGATAATGTTTTTAAAAATATATTATTTTCTTCATTTGCTTCTTGACTGATTGCCTTGAGTACTACCAAATATATCTGTTGTAAAGGTTGATCAAGTAATTGTACAACACATTCTCTTTCTTCGTTTTTACATTTTCTTGAAAGTAATATGAGTAAACAATCAACAGCAGATTGTCTAAAATTAAAATCATCTAATAAAGAGCATAAAACAGTGATTATATAACAATCTTTAAAATTCACATGTGAGAGTTGAATAAACTCAAATAATTCTCCAATATTAGCCAATGCAAGTTGTATTACTCGGATAAGTGCGTTTGCTGCATTTTGTTCATTTCTACCTAAGAATTCTAAATATTGTCTACAGTAATTATCAATCACATTTATGAAGAATGGAAAAATTTTTGACATACTCATTTGAAGTTCTTTACTAATATCTCGTCGTCTGGCCGCATTGTCGACGGTTTGCAATAAGATAACATCTTCAATTAACCTCAAAAATATAAGCATCACAGTTTCTGTTTGACAACAGCCTAATGTTGTAGCACATTCCAATTCATTTAACATTCCAGGCCAATGTTGAGGCCATTCCCTTTTGATCATTTCTACAACAACTCTAGCAAGAGCATCTTTCAAATAGTTTATTTGGAGTGTTGGTGAAGCAGAATTGACCAGGCTCATTATAGTAGAAAAAATGAGCAATTTGTCTTCCTGTACCATTTGGTACCATCGAAATTTAATACAATGTTCCATGAGTTGCAAGCCAAAATGTCGTACAATATCAGTGTATTGTGCGCTGTCGCTAGTGAAATATAAAGCACACTGACATTGAACGCAAAGTGGAAACTCACTTTTAAAACTGTCGCATAAACGGTAGGCTTCGTGACGTTTTTCTTGTGATATAGATGGATCCATGGTCAGATCAACAGCATTAGCAAGCTGCTGAACCACCGTCTCTATAGGTGTGTCTAGATTCATGATGRCTAACGGACTCTGAAATTAAACAAAAAAAATATTTAAGTACATTTTCATCAGAATATTTAGAAAACTCGATTGAAAATAATTTCTATTTGACAAAGGAATTATCAATTCTTTAAATTATTTTAATTAACATCAAAAAAAATACAACAAAATCAACCAATGCACATGCATTATTAATACAACTATTTGTTGTATTGGCACTTTTATAGGATTTAATATTAATAGTGTATGTAAATTTAGCTCACATAACGTTTTATAGGTACTTGATTTGCAACGATCGTTCAAAATTCGCCCATAGTTTTCCTGAGGCGAGCGGACGTGGCCACACAACAACGAGCAAATTAAG